TATTATTATTATTATTATTATTATTATTATTATTATTATTATTATTATTATTATTATTGTTATTATTATTATTATTACCAAAACATGGAATGACTTTATCCTTATATTTAATTGAAAGTTCTGCTACTAAATCTAAATCTTTAATATTTGTTCCCATAAGACATAGTTTATCTGTTTTCAATTCACCTATACGCTCTAGATTCTCAATATCATCATGTGCATGTGTATGTACATCGCATGTATTATTCCAATTTATTTCCATTTTTTTCTTAATTTTAAATATTTGATCTGCATAATTATAAATATGTACCACAAATGCAAACAACCTTCTCGAGTGTAGTAGTAATAGTAATATGGCACAATATGGGTATTTTAAAAATCGCTCATTACAATATTTTCACACAGACTTGATAAAAATGTCAAATTTAAGTATTTTTACTTCATGTAGTAATAATCGACCCAATTTACTTGAAAAATAAGCAAACTAAATATGTGAGGTCATTGAATATTTCGCAAACCTGCGAAGTTGCCTATATATATATATTGCTCTGGGTCCTGTCTCATAATATATTAATAGTACTCACATACTACTATACTAATAAAAGCTTCTTATAATCAACCCTAATAGTAATTAACAATGGCAATTCAACTAAAGATGTTAGCCGAAATGGTTTTTGAAAAAATCAATTTCGGCAGGCAATTTCAGATTTACCCAGAATTCATAACTTTCTCAACTCCATTTTCTTTTTGAACCTTTACCCATTCATCTCAAGCTCAAAGTTGTTGTTTTAAGGCCATTAAAGTGCCAGCAATTTCTGAACTTTCATTTTCCTTAACATTTTCAACTGCATTATAGATTCTTAGTTTAAATTCTTGTTCTTTATCAGCCAATTGTTTTTCTAAATCAGCAATTCGATTTGATAATTCTTTGTTCCTCTGTTCAAGTTCTGTTATTACATTTACCATGATTTTCTTTTTAATTTATTTGCTCTTTTAATATACTTGTATCCTTTTTATGAGGGCATATTAAGTATATAAATTATTTTAGTACTTTTTTACTTTAAAAAGTGGAATGTTTATTGAAAGATTAAATTTATTAAACTTAATGACAGTAAGGAACAAATTAATGAGTGGTGAAGTCATAGAGGTGATTTTATTTTATTCATTGCCAGTATAGATTGGTATTGGGTAAGAGATGTCTTTAAACCCATCCTTTACAAATGGGCGAATATTATGATAAAGGTATTCTTGTCTTTTGTAGTCTAAAGGAG